CGCAGGCCTCTGCGCATGCATTGCGTCATCGATTTTTTGAACGTGATCGCGGCCGACAGAGAAAACGTGGCCGCGGTCTGTTTGCACCGCTGGGAGTCGTAAAATTACTGTTCTTCTGTCCTCGCGACCATTCAAATCATACGCGATACAGGAGGACCCACGTTCTCCCCGGTCGATATCTCTGAAAGTTTGCACATCGTGAAACACCAGTATGAGAGGTGTTCAGGCCAATTTTCAATGGATTACCCTGGTTGGATCGTTCCAAAATCGGACTTGCATTTCTCGCTCGCTCGCGGCCATTTCTTGCGCGATGGAAGCTCCCTACCCTGGTGAGTAACCAGCGTCGCGCTTGGTAGAGAGTTGCTGCAATCAGCTCCCTGATGTCTTCGCTGCCATTCTCAGAAGCAATGGACCATGAATTTGTTTGAGAGTCTCTGGATGCTACTTTTCCTCAGCCTAGCTTTCAGCCATTCCGTGCATCTTCTTCGCACGATTTATTTTGCAAAAAAATGAAAAGTGTTCATGAGTTTTCTTGTCGGCCGCGCGTAGATGGGCCAGGCTGACCTGCGCAGATGGGCTGCGCAGTGCGTTCGCTGATATCCCTATGTGCAGTTTTCTGTTGCGTGACAGGGGATTTCCCTATGACCCCTGATCTCTCTCCGTAGCCTCACTCCGCTGGCCAGCACCCTCCGTACCGCACGCTGCCGTGTGTTGTAGTTAATGTGCGCACATGTGTGTGTGTGTGTGCGCGCGCGCGCGCGTGTGTTTGTGTGTGTGTGTGTGTGTGTGTGTGTGTGTGTGTGTGTGTGTGTGTGGTCAATTCATCAGCCTTGCAAGCTGTTGAATGGTGTAATCGCAGCACAAGTTGCTATGTCTAACATAGCTGTTCGCTATCATCGCTTCCGCGATGGGCAGGTCTGAGGTCTGAGGTGTGTGTGTGTGTGTGTGTGTGTGTGTGTGTGTGTGTGTGTGTGTGTGTGTGTGTGTGTGTGTGTGTGTGTGTGTGTGTGTGTGTGTGTGTGTGTGTGTGTGTGTGTGTGTGTGTGTGTGTGTGTGTGTGTGTGTGTGTGTGTGTGTGTGTGTGTGTGTGTGTGTGTGTGTGTGTGTGTGTGTGTGTGTGTGTGTGTGTGTGTGTGTGTGTGTGTGTGTGTGTGTGTGTGTGTGTGTGTGTGTGTGTGTGTGTGTGTGTGTGTGTGTGTGTGTGTGTGTGTGTGTGTGTGTGTGTGTGTGTGTGTGTGTGTGTGTGTGTGTGTGTGTGTGTGTGTGTGTGTGTGTGTGTGTGTGTGTGTGTGTGTGTGTGTGTGTGTGTGTGTGTGTGTGTGTGTGTGTGTGTGTGTGTGTGTGTGTGTGTGTGTGTGTGTGTGTGTGTGTGTGTGTGTGTGTGTGTGTGTGTGTGTGTGTGTGTGTGTGTGTGTGTGTGTGTGTGTGTGTGTGTGTGTGTGTGTGTGTGTGTGTGTGTGTGTGTGTGTGTGTGTGTGTGTGTGTGTGTGTGTGTGTGTGTGTGTGTGTGTGTGTGTGTGTGTGTGTGTGTGTGTGTGTGTGTGTGTGTGTGTGTGTGTGTGTGTGTGTGTGTGTGTGTGTGTGTGTGTGTGTGTGTGTGTGTGTGTGTGTGTGTGTGTGTGTGTGTGTGTGTGTGTGTGTGTGTGTGTGTGTGTGTGTGTGTGTGTGTGTGTGTGTGTGTGTGTGTGTGTGTGTGTGTGTGTGTGTGTGTGTGTGTGTGTGTGTGTGTGTGTGTGTGTGTGTGTGTGTGTGTGTGCGCATGTGTATCATTATATGCTCAGGCTTCATGGACCACAGACTACATCAACAGCAATACAAACCTACCAGTCAGTCCCGCAGCACGACAGTCAGCGCCAGGTCTCAAAACCTTGGCAAGTCCTCTTCTGTAGGTTGGATGCGAACTGTGTACGGGGTTTTGTGAGAAGACTGTGGCGTTCTGTGAGAATTGTAGGGTTTGTGAGAATGGGATTGGGTTTGGTGAGAGTTGTTTGTGGTTTTCTAGTTTTTTTGTGAGAGTTGTTTATGGTTTTGTGAGAGTTGTTTATGGTTTTGTGAGAGTTGTTTATGGTTTTGTGAGAGTTGTTTACGGTTTTGTGAGAGTTGTTTATGGTTTTGTGAGAGTTGTTTATGGTTTTGTGAGAGTTGTTTATGGTTTTGTGAGAGTTGTTTATGGTTTTGTGAGAGTTGTTTATGGTTTTGTGAGAGTTGTTTATGGTTTTGTGAGGGTTGTTTATGGTTTTGTGAGAGTTGTTTATGGTTTTGTGAGAGTTGTTTATGGTTTTGTGAGAGTTGTTTATGGTTTTGTGAGAGTTGTTTATGGTTTTGTGAGAGTTGTTTATGGTTTTGTGAGGGTTGTTTATGGTTTTGTGAGAGTTGTTTATGGTTTTGTGAGAGTTGTTTATGGTTTTGTGAGAGTTGTTTATGGTTTTGTGAGGGTTGTTTATGGTTTTGTGAGAGTTGTTTATGGTTTTGTGAGAGTTGTTTATGGTTTTGTGAGAGTTGTTTATGGTTTTGTGAGAGTTGTTTATGGTTTTGTGAGAGTTGTTTATGGTTTTGTGAGAGTTGTTTATGGTTTTGTGAGAGTTGTTTATGGTTTTGTGAGAGTTGTTTATGGTTTTGTGAGAGTTGTTTATGGTTTTGTGAGGGTTGTGCGGGGTTTGTGATACAGTGTGTGGTTTTACGAAAACGGAGAACTTTTTTCTCTTTTTTTGCGGTCTCTATTAAACCACTTTGTGGTGGGTCTGGTCTACTCACCTCTCTCCGCTTTAGGAGCTGCATCTGCGCCTTGATCCTTGAAGTGTGGTGGTGTTGTTATGGATGTGGAAAACTCTGTATGATGAGGCGTTGTACATAGGGCAACGCCAGGAGAGTGATCTAGGCCCATCGGAGAAGTTCTATTAATTTTATTTCAAAGGACTAGGCCGATCGGGGAAGTTCTATTATTTTTCCCGTAGCTATGCAAAAGACGTCGGGCGCTAGCCAGGATCCACTTTAATTCGGTATCTGTTTGTTGTGTCGTCGGGCATGCCTGGCGCTATCCCGCACATGTCCCGTACCGTACCATCAACGACAGCTGGCCACCCTAAATAGGGCTTTCAACTGCAAGATCCTAACGTGAAGCAACTTGGAAGAATGTGTATACTGTAATGTCCCGTATAAAAGCATGACCTGAATAGAAGCATGACTCGAATAGAAGCCGATTCTTTGAAGCGCGTCGTGACACAGAAGCATGGTTTGAATAGAAGCCGCTCCCTGCAAAGTACATGTGGAAGTACATGCATGGCAGTATGCATTCCACAGTGCAGACGGATGATGTTGACGTAGAATCATAACTTGAATAGAAGCATGGTTTGAACCCCGGCTTATACGGCCGTAAGTACCTGCTTTTATACGCGACATTACGGTATGTAAAGAAGCCATGCTTGGTAGTTATACATGTTTTTCGATTTTGACTCTGCCAACCGGGTTATGGTTGTAGTCAGGAGCACTATGCGTCCTCGCCTTGTAACATGCTGTCGAAATCGAAAAGAATGTGTATGTATTGCGAAGTGTATCGGGGGAATGCATGCAGGGCGATAGTGCGGGTTTGCATCCCATGTTAGACCAATACAAAGAATAGAGAGGTTCCGGGGTTCGATTTTCCGTGCCAAAATCCGCATGGGCGCTACGGATTTTTTCGAGGTGGGCTTCATACGATTTTTCGGCACGAAGAATCCGTGTGGACTGGCTTTCATACGAACCATGTTTCGTATGGAGATTTTGCGTCATCGAGTGCAGACATTTTTTTCACGTACACATTTGGTACGAGAAACATCTATTTCCCGCGGGAAGTTTTAGACTTCGGTACAAATTTTCAAAATTAAAAAGGACAACATGTTACGAGTTATGACAAATATATTGGCTCACCATCCGAGAAAAACTAAAAAGGTATAATTATTTGAACAGGCGGCGAGGTGACAACAGTTTTACCATCATTTCCATCACCACTTAAGTCACTTTACATCTCAATAAAACCTTCGTAACATGTCATTTCAGCTGATTCTGTTGATTGCCATCCTAAAAAAAGGTATAGCTCTGGAATATGACGTGTTTGCGATCGTAACCTGGGCAATGACGGCAAACACATCTTTTCGTACTCCGGAACATTTCACTGCTCGAAAACGACGTATTAAAAAATCCATGGCGCCTCTACAGATTTTGGCACGGAAAATCGTACTCCGGAAGGACCGGAACCTATCTTATGTACTTCATGATTGTTCTTTTTTCAGAAAAATAGGGAGGGAGGGCGGGCGGATTTTTATTTTTATCATTGTATTGCGAAAACGTTTCCATTAGTTCGAATGACATGCATGATGACCTGGACAAAACAGCATAGCGAGGGCCCTGAGCTTTCAAGCTCTCTTGTTTGTTTGTTTTTCGTGTAATTTCTCCGTAAATGGATTGGGGTATACGACAACCGAGGTCGGCCGGTCGTACACTGTCGCGTTTGGAGTTGCCAAGGGCAACTACGGGATTCGAACACTAAGTGTGGCGGAACATAGATTCGCATGCAGTGTACGTTAGACTTCCGTAATTACATTGTGCTGAACCCTGGCAGCATGGGGAGGGCCCTGAGCTGGCAGCTCTCTCATTTTGTTTTATTTTGTGTGTGGTGCTGTGTGACGTGCTGTGTGACGTGCTATGTGTATGATGTAGAGTTGTTCTGACTATGGTGGGGATGCTTTGAAACGTCCGTACGCGTCATTCACGCTGGCTGGCTTTTTCTCCACGTCCTGTTTTGCTGGACTTCATTCTAATGGATATGCGCATGCGTGTGTGTGCATGTGTATGTGCGTGCGGGCGTGTGTGTGTGTGTGTGCATGTGTGTGCACGTGAATGCGTGTGCATGCGTGTGCATTGTTTTTCGTCTGCACATTTTTCTTGCTCGTTGAAATCTGTGACGTCAACTCCCCTCGTGGCCTGCCGGATATCCGTGCTGATCTTCCCCTAGTCGTATGTCAAGGGATTTGAGGAGAGGTTCTTAGAGACCGCCACCATTCACTATATGGGTGTTGGAACCCGCCTCGTTTTGAACTCAACCTGTCAGGAGTATGTGTGGGAGGTAAGTTCCTAGCAAGCTGTTCCTGCTGCTGTTGCTGGTGTTGCTGTTCCTGCTGCTGCTGCTGTTCCCCCTGCTGCTGTTCCTGCTGCTGCTGCTGCTGCTGTTGTTCCTGCTTCTGCTGCTGTTGCTTATGTTGTTGCTGCTGCTGTTGCTGCTGCTGCTGCTGCTGTTGCTGCTGTTGCTGCTGCTGTTGCTGCTGCTTCTGCTGTTGCTGCTGTTGATGCTGCTGCTGTTCTTGTTGTTGCTGCTGCCGCTGTTCTTGCTGCTGCTGATGTTGCTGCTGCTGCTGCTGCTGCTGTTCCTGCTGCTGCTGCTGCTGCTGCTGCTGTTGCTGTTGCTGTTCCTGCTGCTGCTGTTGCTTCTGTTGTTGCTGCTGCTGCTGTTGTTGCTGCTGCTGCTGGCTCACGCCTATTTCTAAACTCGTCTTCTGCGCAGGTTCTCGCGCATCCTACTTTTTTGGCCATTTCATCTCTACATGGCACACTGAAGACACAGCCTACTTCAAATCCTAAACTTTTCGGGCCATTTTGAAAATCTTACCGACTGCTTTTGCTTGCACCGTGGGGTGATCGCTTAAACCAGGTTTTACTGTATTTTGTCGGATCTGTCGGATATGCTGTACCCGCAGGCACTCGAATGCATGCAGCTCGAAGTTGACAACTCCTCTCGCATTGTCTTACCATCGACAGTAACAAAGGTACGACTGAAATTGTGTGTGTGTGTGTTCGCGTGTGTACGTGTGTGTGTGTGCGCGCGCGAGTGTGTGTGTGTGTGCCCCCCCCCCCCCCTGTCCTCACCCACTTACTGAGGTGTGGTGAGCCCGTAAGTAGGATCATTTCTAAGTCCACCCAGATGGGGATTTCAGGGTGTGTCGGTCATTGGGCAGTTTATTAGCAAATTGAGTCATCTTTCCAAGATTCCTTTTGAATCTTTCTCCCATCTCCCGGGGCGACCCACTTGACCAGTTTTGGCAGTGAGCAAGTGGAAGTACAAGTGTGTGTGTGTGTGTGTGTGTGTGTGTGTGTGCGCGCGTGTGCGTGTGTACGATTATGGTCACGCACCTCTTTTTTTTTCTTTCTAATTCTCCTCTTCTTTCTCCTTGGTGGTTACCAGTAGCCAGTACATACTGTAGTATTTGGTGTGTGTGTGTGTGTGTGTGCGCGTACGTTCATGTGTGTGTGTACGTGTGCGTGCGCGTACGTTCATGTGTGTGTGTGTACGTGTGCGGGCGTGCGTGTGTGTGTGTGCATGCGTGTGCGCGTGTGTGCATGTGTGTCTGTGTCTGTGCACACGTGTGTGTGTGTGTGTGTGTGTGTGTGTGTGTGTGTGTGTGTGTGTGTGTGTGTGTGTGTGTGTCTGCGTGCGTGTGTTCTACGTGACATAGTTGAGGTCCACCCTGGTGGATTGTTTCGTTACGCAGCATCAGGACTTCCTGCTCACTGGCATCACCACACTGCTCCAGGCTGGAAATGAATCTGGTTAGTGACAAGAACACTCCTGCTCACTGACATATGATCGTGTGAATCAAGTTTGTGCCCCGCACCCAATTCACATCCCAGTTTCCACAGGTCTAGGGCTGCACACCTCCCTGCACCAGTTCACATCGCAGTGTACGCAGCAGGTCTAGGGCTGCACAGCTCCCTGCACCAGTTCACATCGCAGTGTACGCAGCAGGTCTAGGGCTGCACAGCTCCCTACACCAGTTCACATCGCAGTGTACGCAGCAGGTCTAGGGCTGCACACCTCCCTGCACCAGTTCACATCGCAGTGTACGCAGCAGGTCTAGGGCTGCACAGCTCCCTGCACCAGTTCACATCGCAGTGTACGCAGCAGGTCTAGGGCTGCACAGCGCCTGGCGCCTACTGGCCTCACTTGATCGGATTCCTTCGACTAACTCTGTGTATGGGGTAATGGCGTACAGACGCGTGTGACCCTGGGGACGTTTTTATTTTCTTTCTTCCTTGTCATTCTCGCTGCTGGAGAATTCTGGTGCTGCTGCGTCAAGGTGGCTCACGCCTATTTCTAAACTCGTCTTCTGCGCAGGTTCTCGCGCATCCTACGTTCGAGAAAAGTGCATGCGTAGTTGGCGTAGCGAGCTCGTAGCGCACTCCAGTTTTGAAGGGTCCAGCTCACGCGTATGACCCGATCGGTGTGTGCCAGTTTCAACTTTCCCTGCCACAAACAAAGGGTATTTTTTGTGAGGTAACATGACGAGTTAAGAAATATACGCGAGCCACTTAAAGCCGGTTTAGAATGCTTTCTTGTTGGCTAGGCACTAGGCTTCAGCCAGTCACGTTCAGCTCTGCTGACGAGACCTGCAATGCTCTCGAGGTTCGTGGTTTCTCGTAAAAAAAAATGCTTGAAACAACTGCAGTTGGCTGTCTGCTGATGAGGGATTC